AATAAAACACTTTTGGAGTAAAGTATATAAAGCATTGGCCTTTTTGATCCATCACCAGTAAAATTTTCATAAATGATAAGGCACTTAATTAGTAATTTGAAAGCTATATAGAATTTGTACCAAGAATAGAGATGATGATCAGTACCAATAACACAGTGAAAATAAAAATACAGAAAAGCTTGAGACATTTTGACTGGATTTTGAATCTGGGAGGGTAAACTATAATATGATAAGAAAGAAGAATCATGAACGACAAAGCTAGACCAATTATTTATTCAATAATCCTTTTCTTTATTCTAAAAATCTTAATTAAGTGTTCACTACTTGCCAGGTATTTTAGTAGAGATCAAAAATGTACAAGTTAAGCCACCTGGTCCTGCCTGGACTTTTCTTTTGTTTTTAATTATTGGAAAGTTTTTCTTATTTTTATTACAGATTCAATCTCCTTACTAGTTAGAAATTCATTCATATTTTCTATTTCTTCATGAAATAGAAAGCGTAGATTGTATGTTTATAGGAATCTATTCATTTTAACTTATCTCTATTCAATTTGTTGCTGTATAATATTTTATAGTAGTTTCAGGATACTTTTTATTTCTGTAGCATGATTTATAATGTCTCCTCTTTCATTTCTAATTTTATTTATTTGAGTTTTCTCTCTCTCTTTTTTTCTTTTTTTTGGTCTACTTAACATTGTATTGTATATTTAAAATTGTATTAAGAAAATCCATCTCATGTTGGGTTCTTACCACAATTAAAAATAATATACATATGAATTTTAAAGATGCATGGGTGAATATCACAACTGTATTTGTCCTCATTTAGACAATTAAGGCCTATGTCATTAACATATGTCCTCATTTAGACAATTAATCTATGTCTGTAGCAGCAAAAAAAGAATCAAAATAATGATTCCAGCAAAAATTATAAAGAATTAATTAACTAGACTTAGTGATTACTTGAGGCAGTATCTAGAGATGGAATACCTTAGGATATTCAGGAAGTTCCTGAGTATACAAGGAACTTCTTAGAGACTAGACTGTTTGGAGCTATAAAAGCAAGCCTAGAGTGGTAGAAGAGGATGTCATTGAGGGCTGTTGCTAGAACTTTAAATTTATGTGAACAGAAATGGGGAGTGTCCACAGAGATTTAAGTGGGCTGATTGACATGATCACTTTCAATTTTGAAAGAATCACTCTGGCTACCCTTATTAAATTGATCTTTAGAACACAGAGGTAGAAGTGGGCATTGCTAACAGGCTACTTAGTAATGCAGGTGAAAGATAATGGTAGCACACATGTAGAAAAGGATCACATTTGGGGTCTTATTTAAGAGTGTGTCTAACAGAATTTCTCGTTGAATGGGATGGAAACTGAAGCTAAAGAAGGAAAATTTTCTTTCAGCTGAGATGGGGAAGGCTTCAATGCAGCACACAGTCAAAATGGATGTCTAAGATAAGTTTTGTGAAAGGATGACCAAATTCACAACATCAATTACTGCTGTGGCCCGATTGCAGGACGGGGGATGAACACATAAGACATAGACATAAGACGTAGATACGACAGAGTTGGCTGCAGTCCCAGAAAAATAAAGTAAACAGACACAAAGACGGTTGAAGACTGCAGCACCTTAAAGAGTCAGTCGTTTTATTTTTATACTGTTTAATTGGGCAAGCGTCCGCAGCTATTTCTTTTCTCATGCCAGCTATTTTCCCAGCTACTTTCAGGTACATGACTTCCCACAGGCCAACAGCACCTGTTCCTCCAGTCATAGCACAGGATTGCCCATCGATGCTTGATACTGTTTGCGGATAACAAGACGCCTTGACTTAGTTGCATAGCACAATAAGAAGGAGATGTTTACATTCTCTCTTCTACTGTCTATTACCACATACAGATAACAGACAAACTTGGTTGGCCTGTGAAACCAGAGGTCCCTGGCCATTTGCCCTGGGGAACAGTTTTCTCTGCTGGTCAACAAGTCACGTCCTGCTAATTGTGGGAACGAGCAATGGGCTCCCATTCTGCTGACTTTGGGTCTCGAACAATCTGACCCAGGGAAGGCTGGCTTCAAATGACATTCATCTTGTTTGTCCTGATTGTCAAAGTTTAAGTCTGTCATCCTAGCTTAACTATAATAGTGCCTCCTTTCAAAAGTGAATCAAATAGGAAAATGAATTATTTGGTCACTTTATTTATTGAGATCTACTGGATTTGATTGAATAGATGCTGAAATCCAGACTTGTAGCTATAAATGTCTATTCAATACCTTAGATGCTAAAATCCAGACTTATAGCTATAAATGTCTATTCAATACCTTAGAGGTTGTATTGATATTTTCATGGTAAAATATACAAAATTTAGATCCTGAATCCTCTCCAAAAATAAAAAAAAAAGAAGATAAATTGTTAGAGTCATATTTTGGTGACAACCAACTTAATACTTTAGAGCACATGGAAGTTGGGCACCCAAGCATGCATTTTTAGCTAGTTGTCTGGGCTATTCTTTCTCAAAGCAAAATGTTAAAATCGATGGTCTATGAAAGCCACTATATACCAGTCAAAATTTATATAATAATTCAGATGGTTTGTCTAGAAAATAAGATTCTAATATGAAAAAATAATTAGAAAGAATTGAACTATACAGCTAAGAATTTTCAACAGAAATAGACAATATATTTTATCAACCACTAATGCTTCATTTAATTGTATGATTTTTGTATATGGTGTTAAATAAAGGATCTTTTTTCTACATGTGGATATCTAGTTTTCCCAATGCCATTAATTGAAGAAACTGTCCATTTCCTATGGTATGTTCTTGGCATTTTTGTGAAAACCAATTGAACATAAATGCATGGGTTCATTTTAAGGCTGCTTATTCTGTTCCATTGGTTGATGTGTCTGATTTTATGCCAGTATCATTGATTACTATAGTTTTGTAATATTCCTTAAAATGAAATAATTGGATGTCTCTAGTTTTGTTGTTTTTGCTCAAGAGTGCTTTAGCTACTCGGCCTTTTGTACTTTCATATTACCATATTTTTTCCATCTCTATGAAAAATGTGATTGGAATTTTGAAAGAGATCACACTGAATCTGTGAGTCACTTTGGGTAGTATGGACATTTTAAAAATATTAAATCTTTCAATACATAAATATGGAATATCTTTCCATATATTGGTGTCTTCCTCGATTTCTTTCACTAATATTTTATAGTTTTCTGTGTACAGATCTTTTACCTCCTCAGTTAATTTTTTTTCCAAAGTGTTTTATTTTTTTATTTGTAGCTGTTGCAAATGGAACATTTTTTAGTTTTTACAATATATCACTGTTGGAGCATAGTTGGTGAGAATTTTTACATATATGTTCGTTAGGGTTATTGACCTATAATTTTATTTTCTTGTATTGTACTTGACTTGCTTTAGTATTAAGATAATGCTAGCCTTAGTAAAATGAGTTTAGATGTATTTTTTTTCCTCTTAGATCTGTTGGAAGCATTTGAGAAGGATTGCTAGTAGGTTTCTTTTTTAATTATTATTTTTTATTTTTTTATTTGATAGAATTCAGCAGTGAAGCCTTCAAGTTCTGGGCTTTTTTTGATGGGAGATTTTTTTATTACTGATTGAATCTCCTTGTTCTTCAGTCTCCTTACTGCAAATACATTCAGAATTTTTATTTCTTAATGATTCAGTCCTGATAGATTGTATGTTTCAAGCTGTCTGTTTCTCCAGGTTATCCAATTTGTTGGCATATATTGTTTATAGTAGTCTCTTATGATCCTATGTATTTCTGTAATATCAATTGTAATGTCTCCTTTTTCATTTCTAATTTTATTTATTAAAGCATTCTTTCTTTTTTCTTAGCCTAGTTAAATGTTTGTTTATTTTATCTTTTCAAAAAACTTTTGATTTTATTGATCTTTTCTATTGTTTTCCTAGTATCTATTTCATTTATCTCTGCTCTGATCTTTATTATTTCCTATTTTTTACTAACTTTTGGCTTAGTTTGTTCTTCTTTCCCTAGTTCTGTATGGTGTAACATGAGTTAATTGATATGATTTAACTTCTCTTAAATTTGTTAAGACTTGTTTTGTGTCTTAACATTTGATCTACCCTGGAGATTCCCCATGTACTTGAGGAGAATGTGTATCCTGCTTGGTTAGAATGCACTGATTATGTCTGTTAGGTCTATTTGGTCTAATGCATAGTTCAAAGTATTCTTACTAATTGTCTGACTGATTTGTCCATTGTTTAAAGTAGGATATTAAAGCTTTCCATTATTATAGTACTATAGTCTCTCTCCTTGAGACCTATTATTTGCTTTATATATTTATGTGCTTTAATATTTTTCAAACAGTATTATTTTTGGTACATGTATAAGTATATATATGTATGTTGTAATATGGAAAGATATATTAGAATCTATCTTTTTCATAGTGACTTTCTTTTTGTCTCAGGATTATTTTACAAAACAAATATTCCCTGTCTCTTTGAGGTTACAGTATGATCTATGGGATTCAGTTCCTTGGAGAGCACGAACATAGTTCATAGCCCTTTAGGGCAGAAACATCTAGGAAAATAGAGAAATTTAATAAAAAATAATGTGTAACATAAACTATGACTACATGTTTCACCTGATCCTATAATGATAGAAATATGTGAGTTCAATTTATAAACTTCAAATTCAATTTAATAAATTATCCTTTTACCTTATAATTTGCTGAATTGATTGATTTCAGTTCCTTTAGCTGCAGTTAATCTCAGTGCAAATATCCTTATTTTAAGTTTAAATGTCTTTTGCCTCAGGAACCCAAGTAAGGATTATAAATTTTTCTTTCATAAAATAGGTGATAGAAAAGAAATTGTTATACATTAAACTCTTCAGTTATTAGTCATTCATAATATAGGAATAACACTTTAGGGAGCAAATTTGAGTTTATGCACAGGATGAATGATATTTTCATCTGAAATATTCTTATAATGATAAAATTTTTATCATTATAGGTGATGGTCTTCTATCCTTTTGAAGTTGGCAGCATTTAAACACTACATTATAAAATAAGGACTTCAGTATAAGAGAAGTATTTTAAGTAAGTGCCAAACACTCACACAACATGAAAACACTAAACTTTAGTAATTCAAAGCTATAAATCTGTGTATATGTAACTCAAAATTAATATAGTAAGTTAAGACACTTGGAAAAGCATTTTGAACATTACTGAAGAGTCATTACATTTGTAGTTGTTTTGATGACAACTTACTTAGAGATTTATAAAAGTTCAACTCCCCACCAACTTTCTTATTGAGCATCTACAAAATGTGATGTATGTTCCTAATAAATGATGATAAATCAGAATATACACAGGGCTGTGCTATTCATGAATAATTTGACACAGATGCAGAGAAAAGAGCTATAAACTAGTCTGAATAGAGATTAAGGGATGAGAAGAGTCAGTTCTGACAGCCCATGTTGAAGCATCTATAAACATGCTCCTGACATGGAAATATTTTAGGAATATCCTGAAACTATAGGGTTTTATCATATTTGTCCAAAATGGGTTCAAACTGTTTAAAGGAAAAATTATCTGGTAGTTTTATAAGTTATTTCTAAAGGGATGCAGTTTTTAAAAAGACTAAGCAAGTAGGACTTGTAACCAGAATGTGTAATGAAAGATTATTATTAACTTCACCTCTGAAACTGTTGGAGGAAGTGATGGTCTGACTCCTTATCATTGAGCTAATAAATCATCTTCAATCTAGACCACATGCTTAATACTTTGCATAATTGTGACCACTGAGAATCTGCTCATTGAACTGCTACCATCTTACTCTGATCATGGGTTTCCTGTACTGAATTTTAGAGTCTAAGAATTTTTATGGACCTTAATTTAAAGAAAAGGGTTTGTAGTGCCTTCTGCCTCCTTGACTCTGTTCTGTTCACCTGCTTAAGGCCCAGTGACTTCCTAGCTTTTATATTATGCTATGCTTACCCCCTGTTGCTGGAATATTGACTTTTAATACCAGTCTGGACCGAGGTTTCTTCTGCTCAGAAACAGTACTCACAGCCCTCAAGGACATCGTTCTTGGACTTCTAAGTATGGGCTGTAGCATAGATCCCTGAATGTTGTTTTCTGCCTACAGGTTGGTATCTGTTGCTAAATTTTCTCATCCCTCAGTGTCTCCTCTTTCTGACTGTGATAAGAAAAATGATGCAACCTCTGGACTTAGTAGATTCAGTTAACTGCCTGTTGTAGTTGATAAGGCTGTCCTAAGCTCTCACACTTCATTTTAGTACCTGTTTTAGCTGAGATAACCTGCAGTATCTGGATGCCTGACCTTGTCACTTAAAAAAAAAAGAAGAAGAAAATAAGATGCTATGATGTTCTAGAGATATTCAAAACCACTTGATTTTACAAGTGTCTAGAGCTAAATGAATAAATAAAATAATTTAATAACTGAATGTCATAAAGTTGCCATAAAAGCATCCATTTAATGGAAACCTATGAAGTCTCATAAAATATACTTAGCATTCTATAGTTATCATATTCCCAAGATAGGAAACATGATTTTACCTTTTTAGAAGAGCAAAGATCATTTCTTTTACAAGTTCTTAGCTTTCAAAAACTTAACTTCATGCACAAAAAACAGATTTTTTGACCCAATTCAAAAAAGTGTTTCATTCAGAGTATTTGGGACAAACAATTCACAAATGGTGCTAGTTCTAAGGTTTCAAAGACCACAGTATGAGTTTAAGTGCTCTGTATTCAAACTCTAGGTAAAAACAAGGATAAGTGTCTCTGGTCTGGTTCTGACTTTGAGAATGTTTTTATTATAGATATATCATGTTTCACAGAATCATTTATTATAAGTATCTGGTTTTTGACTCTCACTTTAAACAGAAGAAAAAAGATGAAATAAGGTTTGGGGCAAGAAATATAAATTTTATTCTTCCATCTGGACCACCTAATTAAAGAGCATATAAAGAATGCTCAAATTCCTTATTTAATGCCTGAATGAAAAACATTCACCATATTTACCTTTTCTAGTTTTTCTTCTGTGCATTTAAAAATTTCAGCAAGAAAAAAGCCTGATGGCATATTGAGTGGAGTTATAGATTTTATATATATCTGGGTAGTAATGAAATGCCTCAGAGATAAAGATGAGAGCACAGAGAGTTATTTCATGGTGCTATTATCTATATATTTATAATAATGAGAGAGATTGGGAAGACATTTCCAAAAGATATTCTAAAAGCTAGTCTAAATGTCAGACAAAATTTTTAAAAATCTAGTGTTCAAGAGGTGAAGAAATGTTTAGAATAGAATTTAAGTTAATGCCAAAATGGGTTTCAATAGTGTGACAAAGTTCATTCAAATGAATCTAGTTTTGAAATGTCTCTACAAATAATATTCCAAATGAAAGAACAGCATGAATCAAAGTTACTTTTAACTTAAGAATTTGAAAAGGATGGTATGTTCTACTTTATAAGCTACAATTCATTGACAGGTTCCTTGTAACGTGTGCAAACCAATTTTACCACACTATTTTCTACTATCATTGTCATAACTTCAGATATGTAGCTAAAAATCAGACAAAGAGTATAAAATATATGCAAAGTCCAACTAGTTGCCCCTTGAACATAAGTAAGAATTATAGTGTATAGAATAAGAAGATTGTGGAAAAACTAAAAGTTCAATTAAGCAACCTGAGTAGAAGAGGAATTCAAAATTGTTTTTGCCCTAATTGGGGAACAAAAATTGAAAGAAGTTATTAATGAATAATGTCAGGTTATATATTGGAAAGGGCTTTTAATTATAGACATCAGAATCCAGTATAGTTACTTTAAATATAACATGCATGAAGTCAATTGGAGGGCTCAACCAATTCCCAGAAAAATTCCTAGAAGCATGCAGCCACACTGCACCAAGAAAATCACTTTCTACTCCATGGCGATGAAGTGACAAAACTTGAAAGCTGCAATCACAGCTGTTGGAATCATATCCATGCTGCCTTGTTAGTCAATAAGTTATTCCTTCTGAACGTCTGCTATTACCTAAGGAGCTATAACAATAGCTGATAGCTCTAAAAGTAAGTCTCTCTTTTAAAATTTATGCCAGAAAAATAGATAACTGGCAATTTATCCTATACTCCAAATACCACACTTCCAAAGTAATCTCATGCCTAGTATGTAGTATGATGCATGTGAATTGCATCTGTTACTCCAGCTACAAAGGAGTCTAGAAAATATATTAATAATTCTTAGCATTTCTAATTCTTCATACCTATGTAGTTTAGAAGGATTTGGAATGGGTGTTAAATGAATTAAACTAGAGAATCTGCAATAATCTACATCTTGGGCACTCAGTATTCACACTTAAATCAATAGCAACAGTAACATCATCTGCCTAAGGCAACTATTCCTCCTAAACACATACACACACACACAGACACTCACACATATTAACTCTATAAAGTGTTGCCAAATTCTCATCAGTCATCACATGCATTTCCTAGTTTAATCACAATTCCATCTTGAATTTTTGCAATTCAGTGGTGAAATATTATAGTTAATTCAGAGAAACATAATCATAATAAATTTTAATGTAAAATGAAGAGGGAAAATGAAACTTTACCCACATATCAGAACAAAGAAGAAACTATGGGCATGCAACTCTACTCATGGTACATTGGTCATGAATTCATAGTTGACACTGATTTCTTATTCTGGTAACCATACCACACCCACTCAGCATGCCGAAATCACTTCAGCTAGTGGAAGCTACCTGTCTGTTTCCTTAGGTGTTCATGTTTATATCAGAAAGAGGTTATTAACTTTTATCACTATGCATATACCATTTGAATGTGTCCCATAGAATCCTGGGGATTCAGAATACTACTCTGCCTCTACCAAATTGTTTTAAAAAATATGCCTTCTTGATAAATCAAATTATTTAATTTAACAAGGTTTACTCCTTTTTTTGCTGGATTGGTGGGATATTTCAATGCTGTCAGGTACAAGAAACAAATTCCAGCTTAATGAAATCATTACTATTTTCCTGGTGGAAACATTCTCAGTTGAATAATAAGATTTCTATACTAGTAAGCTCTGAAATCATGGAGATGACATTTAAAACTTTGTGAGCCAATTGTTTGATATGACAATGAGTTGAACATTTTCAATTTCATCCCTAGATTTCTAGACCCATTTGGTTTTTTTTTTGGAAAAAAAGTCATGTTTTATAGGTTTCTGGGTCAAAGAGTATATCACAAACTGTAAAGCATCATCCTAATACTACGAGTTATTGTCTTTCAGCTGATGCTGTAAGTGAATATTTAACAGCACATTCTGCTCTTCAAGACTAGCTGCTTCAGCTATGGTGAAGGTGGCCATAGGCAATCTAGGAAGGGAACCATTATTAGAAACCTAATTGACCAGCATCTTGATATTGGACTTTCCAGGCTCCAGAACTATAAGAAATACATTTCTGTTGTTTAAACTGTCCAGTCTGTGGTATTTAGTTGTGGTAGCCCAAGCTGATTAATACAAGTACATAATGTTTAAAACTCTGCTGGTGAGGTCCAGAGAGAGTTTGTTTCTTTGTTTGTTTAATTCACAGCTAACAGGTTGTGTAATCTACTAGACAACATTGCTTGGTGACATGACCAGAAGTGTTCAAAAGAGATTCCTACAAACTTTGCCAGTGCTCTCTGGAAACCAAATCCATCGAACAAATGTTTTTTATTCATACTCTGAAGACAAAAAACATCAGATAGAATAAGATGGTGCCCTGGAGAGCTGTAACTGGAAGTCATTCAGGTTTGCCATGGTATACTTTTTCTGCTGCTATACTGTGTCATTTACTTTTATTAAAAGCTTTTAATGAGTGTGCTCTTTGAAGTCATGTGAGTCCTTTCAATTTTTGAGCCTGTGAAATCTTTATAGGTAAGGAAATATATAAACTATGATGTCTATGGCTGTCATATTAATTTAGCTGTGATGGTAAGATTAGATTTGATTGAGTGCATGTGTAACTACTGACAAAGAACAATGAAAAAGAAAAAAATAGAGAGCTACTAATAAAGGCACCTTTCACAATGAATTTTCATGATTTAATTCCAAGGATCGATACACATTCCTCTTTGTCAAGAATCTCCCACGTTTGTTCTTTTCAGTTCCTAACAAAGTAGTCAAACCATTAGCTTCTATCTATGATTTAGTATAGATCAATGCCTATGGTCATCTGTCTAACAGGTAAACTAACTAATCAAGTGTACTGCTTAAATTATGCCCAGTGGGGAAATTTCCCTTCTTTACTTGTCTTCAGGATCACTCCTTAGGTTAGCTATTATAAAATGTCATAATTGTCTATGCCTCCTCTGCAATTATGCTACTGGAGCCAATTATGCTGACATTACAGAACCAGCTTTTTGATTATGTAGAGATACTTTAAATACCATTGGATTCATTGAGTTATATAGGTCAAATGGCATAACTGTTCTGCTGCTGCCTAGACCTGCTTGAGACCATTGCTTTGCTATAATGCCATATGCCCAAATGTGGAATATTTTGCTTCTAAAATACCCTCAGATATATGGTTCATCATCTTTTTTACTGGTAGGAATTCAAAATGCAGGCTCTTGCTTCTTATCCTGAAGGGGGCATTCCAAAATTTGCCAGACTATTTAACCACTGAAAAGTCATTGAATGTTAGGCCCTAAATTTGTGTAGGATTGATTTATCCAACTGTCAGTGGCACATTTTTAACTAAGCATAGCAACCAGGTAGCTTCTATGCCTGCTATCTATATCCCTAGCAGCATAATATCATCAATGCAATAAAAATTTCTATGACATAGTGAATTAGTCAATGCCCCTGAAGATTAATTTAAGGGACAGAGCCTGAAGCATCTAACAGATGGGGCAAATAGATAATGAAGAGCAAGAAGGCAGATACAAAACCACACCAGTATTATACTGAATACACATGTTTTAATCCAGAGGCCAGCAATGTTTTTTCTGTAAAAGGCCTGATAGTAAATATTTTGAGCTTTCAGGCCATGTGGTGTTTGTCACTAGTCTACACTGCCACTGTAGTATGAAAGCAGACATAGAAAATAAATAAAATAATGGCTTTGATCCAATACAACTATGTTTACAAAAATAGGCTGCTGGAGAAATTTGGGCCATAGGTTTAGTGACTCTTGGTCTAAACATCCCAAGTAAAGAACAAATGTTGTCAAAATATGATTTAAAGAAAAACTACATAGAGTTTATAAAAACATTTTTATATTTTAAAATAGAACATTTGAAAATAATAGAATAGTGAAAGAATACTATGCCAAATATAAGCAAAATAAAACTCATATGATTATATCAAATAATGGACATTTAAGGCAAAAAGTATTAAAAGAGCTGGAGAGAGATATTTCACAAACATTAAGAATCAATTCCAAAATAAATTAACATAAATTCATATGCAACAAATAGGATAACTTTAAAACATAAACAACAATTAAGCCAATATGGTATTAGATTTGGACTGACAAATTGGTAAAAGGAATTGAATATATCGTCAAGAAACATACTTGATCATAAATAACTACCTGATTAACAAAAGAGGAGAGACCCTATTGTGGGCAAAGGATTTATTTTCAATAAATAGCATAAGGCCAATCAGATATAAATAAACAAGGAAACTCTAAGTCCTACTTCACACCATAGACAAAAATTATTTTGAGATGGATCACAGACCTAAATACGAAAGCTATATGTAAAAACAAAAAGGAAAGAAATTATCTTGCCTTGAAAAAAATAAATAAGATAACATTGTTTGGCCATGAATATAATTTTTTTAAAAAACACGACAAAACACCCAAAGATAAAAGATCAATAAAATGTATTCATTAACATTAAAAATTAATTTTCATCCAAGAGCTACATTAAAAGAGTGAAAAAACAAATCACAGAATCAGAGAAATATTTGCAACTGATATAACTGACAAAGGCTTATATACAGACTATCTAAACCCAATTTAATAATGACAAAATTCCTAAATGGACACTTTACAGACAGCGCAATTAACTTTTCTACAAATGTTTATAAAAATACTCAACATCATTGTTCATGAGATAAATTCAAACCAAACCCTTACATACTATATTGGGAAAATTTTAAACAAGACTAACAATATCAAGTGGTGTTGAGAAGATGGAGCAACAGGAACTATCTTACATTGCTGGGAAGAGTAAAAATTGGTATAACTCACTGAAGCAAAATACATGTACTCTGCGATTTTGCAATTCTATCTTGGTCTATTAAGGATCAAGGTCACCTGGTTAGCTCTGGACAAGGTGCTTGTTCCATCAGGAGAAGGACAATGTCATCACACTCTTTGGATCTTGGACCCTGCAAATCCTTTCTTTCTTTCTTTCTTTCTTTCTTTCTTTCTTTCTTTCTTTCTTTCTTTCTTTCTGTTTCTTTTTTTTTTGTAGCTTTCTATTGATTTCAAACTGACCCACATTATGATGTTTTTTTATTTACCTCTGCAAATGTGTATGCTTTTTGTTTCAAGTGTTTTTAATGTGTACGAGAATTGGGGCATAATAAAGAATCTGACACATAAGCCCACTCTCAAAGGGAGGGAATTACCTCCCAGATATAAGATACAGGATAAGTGGGGCCTTTTTAGAGGCTGCCTACCCGCAAATGAGATGCATGTCAGGGAAATAAAACAGAAAAGGTCATTTTCCCCAAAGTATGTTGAATATTCTGCACATTGTGGCAAACAAACAGAGGAAAACAACAGGAGGATATTCTCTAATATTTCATTGCAAAAATATTTGATAAACTTCATCCTTAAAGTCCCTTTAGGCTTACTATGATAAGCATCTGACACTCTTGAATTTGTATTTGTCAAATAAATGGTAAAAACCACTATAAGATACTCAATTGAATTGCTAATTCACTGCCTGGATATGTTGGCTGTATTGAATAGAAAGAGATATGTTTGCATGGACTGAATGAGAAGATACAAGGACAGACTCGGTCCAGATGGTGTTTGTGCCATCTCACTTATCAACTTATTTATGATTCTTCCACATTAGTATGCTATACTTATAAATAAGTTTTTTTTCCACCTTGCTCTAATTGATAGTTTCCAGCACTGGCAGTGAACTTTGGCAGGTCTACCCTCCAAAGAGATACATTGTAGGTGAATCCTTAACTGTGGCATATTTGTCTTGAGAAATGTTCCAGAGCATTCATGCACTGAAGTTCAAGTCTAAGTTTCTGTGAATATCAGGTCTATAATTAACTGGTCCAGATGCCAGCTATTTGTGAACTATATGATCTAGTACTTCAACCCAAACACTCTGCAGCACATGTAAGGGCCTAAGTATTTTGAGCATACCACAAATAGCATGATATTTGGAAAACATCCAAAGCTATGAAACCATCTTTGAATAAGCCTGAGAGGATGAAGAATGTAAGAAGTGAAGAGAAAAATTCAGGATTTCCAGCTTTGTTTGATATATGTTTACTGGCACTTTCCTTGACTGAAAGAAGAAATATATATTATATATAATATATTTATATATATATATATATATAATGAGTTATTTATATAAATAATAATTTGGTCTATTCTACACATAATGTTAGACTTTAAACATATGATTGGCACCATTGCAATTCAGTCATAAAGAAATATTTTCATTAGGACAATAAATGTTAGTAATAAAGTTCTAAGGATTTGATCATTGCTGGAAAAAATATTTAATGCATGCCTACTTTGTGACATACATTATACTAAGTATTGACAACACAGTGATCACAAGGAAGAAAAAATATCTCTTCTCACCTGGTTTACATTGTAATTCATTACTGCGCAATTTGAATCCACCTCATATAGGAAAGTAGACTCCAAAACTGGGGTCTGGTCCAAAGGCCAAGTGTGTTCTTGGGTTCACACAAGAAAGAATTCAAGTGTAAAACCAACACAGTAAAGTGAAAGCAAGTCTTTTGAAGTAACAAAGAAACAGAAGGAAGGCTACTCCATAGGTAGCACAATGGCTCAGAGCAACAGAGAGTAGCCCTTTGTAAATCTTCAGGGTCTTATTTTATACTTTCTATTTAATTTTATGTTAAGTTGAGGGTGGATTATGCATAAGATTTCTGGAAAAGGGGTGGGGAGTTTCCATTACCAAGGGTTCCAGCTCTTTTTAATCCATATAAGGTAACTTCCAGGATTTGTCATGGCATTTGTAAGCTGTCATGGCATGGGTAGGAGTTTCTTTTAGGATGCTGATACATTATAAGCAGGGTATAATGAGCAGTAAAGGTAGCCTATAATGAGCAGTAAAGGTCACTTTTTTGTGGCCATCTTGGTTCTAGCTGGTTTTGGCCGGCTTCTCTACTGTCTCCTGTTTTATTAGAGACCTTGTTTTAGGTCTTATGATGCCTTATTAAGCAGGGCCTGCCAGTTCCCTATTTCATACCCAATCAATTCCAATAAATAGCTTTTGGAGAAGTAGTTAAGATTGTGGTAAGCAGAGAGCCATAGTTTTGAAGAAAAAAAATCACAAGTTCTGGACAGTAAAGAATTAAGATATTTTTCAATGTTATATTACAAAATGTCAAGAACATCAGGAGACCAATACTATAATAAATGCAAATTAAAATACTATCATATTTTAAAATATGTTTTAAAACAAAAATAGATATGCTGACATTCCAAAAGTAAATTAATTACTTTATCATCAAATAATATATTCAATTCTACAGCACAAAATGGGTAAACACTTGGTGCAAGATTATATTATGGAGACAAAGAAATTACA